TGAATGGACTTATTATCACTACTGATAAGCTTCCTTTTCTTCTCTCGCACCCCAGTTTCCCAAGTCTCTGGCCATGACTAGTCGCATTGTCTTCCTCCTAATCCCTGTGTGGGGCTTTCTCAGGCCTGGAACACTCCAGCAATTGTTGACGGTTTGATCTGGGCTTCGGCCTGACATTTGCACCTAGTTTGCTTCCTCATCTTTTTCCCTTTCATTCTTCAGTGCTGTTGCTATCGAGATCACTATTCCACATTTATTGAATATTTTTTATGTTACATATATAATGAATTCAGACCTGCATAAAGTGGCACAGTGCTTTATATGCTGTAATGTTGGGCTCTCTGCAGGCAAAATGATATGAATAATAAAGGCTGTGCATAAACATCCAGGCACAGACCTTTGAATGTGATACAAATACCCTTCATTTTACAAGTATTTGTTATTCATCCAGGTGTTTCAGGAAATAAGCTGTAAGCTCAGTGGTCTTTTAGATTTAACATCCTTTTTCACAAACTAATTCATTTTAGTAATAAAAGTTTGTTTAGTCTCTTGGTATTATTGGAACATCATTAATTCATCAAAAAAGCAAAGGCCCATCACAACAGGAATTATTCCAATAGTTTCATGAAAGTGACAGTCATAATTATAAACTAACAAGTGCCAATCCCTTTCCTCAAAGTGTTTATAGTCTGGTAGTGAGAAGAGAAACCTGCAGTTCGCTATCGTAGATGGATAGATGAGACCTAGAAATAGCAAGGAGCCAGCTTAGGAGAGCCAGGGCTAACTCCATGGAGGAGGGAGGGTCTAGGAGAAGCTGAAAGAATGCAAGAGAAGATAATGTGAAAAGAGGAAATATGAGATAAAGCTGTAAAAGCACAGGGCTGATAGTGAGAACCTTGTACTCCATGAAAAGAGCTATAGATTTCATTCTGTCCGTGTGTTTTGATCTTGAGGTACTTGCATGTGTCTGATTAATACTCAGTTCATTTAAGTCAGTAACCCCAAGTCCTAATTACATAACTGTTATTTTATTTATATATCTAGTAAGTTTCATTTAAATAATTTTTCAATGGGATTCTTTGATTAATGATTGAACAACCAAATGGCTCAAAATAAAGGCTTTTAAATCACTGCTTCTGTTTATAAATATTTTTAAAGAGAGAGAGATATCTTCCTTCTGTCAGTTCATTCCCCAGGTGACCACAACAAGGGCTGAGCCAGCCAATGCCAAGAGCCAGGAACTCCATCCAGGTCTCCCACAAGGGTTGCAGGAGCCCAAGTACTTGAACCGTCTTCTCTGCCTTCTCAGGAACATTAGCAGGAAGCTGGATCAGAAGCTGAGAAACTGGACTTGGTGTCACAAATTGGTGGCTTAACCTCCTATACCACAATTCTAGCCCCTTCTGTTTTTAAATTTAACTGAGCTCCTTAGGTGTTTTATACTGCATATATAAATTTAATTTAATTTACTGAATTTTATTTTTAACCATTTCAAAGACGTGTATGGACAGATCTAATGACCTCACTAAGCAAAACCCTCCCAAGAACTTAAATGACTTCTAAATCTATTAAATCTCTTAAATATTCCGATAGTATTTGCAATTGGATTTTTCTTATACTGTAAAAGAAGTATATTCATTCCAAAAAAAAAAATAGTAAGTACATAAAATACAGAGCCAAGGAGAATAATCTATTGAGCTTTCCTGTCCACCTTACCTATGGCAACAATTATAAATTCACAGCCAGTCTTCTTCCATCTGTACTCCTACTCACTTCCCTCTTCTTAGGTTATTTTAAAACTAATACAAAATGTCATATAATTGCAATACAAAACATTTTAGTAGGCATTGCTAAAAATAGACTTTGTGTATTACTGTTAAAATAATGCCAGCATTCAAATTCCCAGCTGTCCCTTACATTGTGTATATGTTTTCAGTTTGTGTGAATAAGAAAGCAGAGCGCACATCTTCATTGGTGTATATGTTTTATAATTCTCTGTTAAGCTGTAGGTTGACTCTCTTTATTCCTTGCCATTTATTTGTTGAAGAAATCAAGTTGTTTGTGACTATTACCCATGGTGTAGATTTTGCTCATTGCTTCTCTGGAGTATTTGTATTTGTATAGTTTTCTTGTTTCTTTCTCCACTCTATATTTCCTAAACATTGTTAGTTGGATGTAGAGCTGGTTTGATACAATTTAGTTGTATTCTTTGTTCCTGTTTTGTTCTGGGAAGACTAATTCCTAGATGATGGTGTGTCTTTTATCAGGAGCTCATCCTGTATACCTCTTTTTTTTTTAACTTTTATTTAATGAATATAAATTTCCAAAGTACGACTTATGGATTACAATGGCTTCCCCCCCATACCGTCCCTCCCACCCACAACCCTCCCCTTTCCCACTCCCTCTCCCCTTCCATTCACATCAAGATTCATTTTCAATTATCTTAATCTGTATACCTCTTTTTTCAAAAAATACTGATTTATTTTTTTGAAAGGCAGAATGAAAGAGACAGAAGGAGAGATGGAGAGACAGAGGAAACTTCCATCCACTGGTGCACTCCCCAGTTGCTGGCAGTAGCCAGGGACTAGGCCAGGCCAAAACCAGGAGCCCAGAATTCCATCTAGGTCTCCCACATGGGTGGCAGGGACTGCAGTACGTGTCATCATCCCCTGCCTTTGCAAGCTCATTAGCAGGACCCGAAGCGGAAGTACCAGGCTTCAAAATGTCCCTCTGCTAGGGATGCAGGGGCACCAGCACCTTGACTCTGTTTTCAGATGGGAGCAGCCATTGCCATTCAGTATCTAGAGTCCTTACTTTTCAACTGAAATTTTAAAAGCATAAACCATACACTTTAAATTGATGCAACAAGCCTAAGTCAATAGTCTTCAATATAACAAATCTCTGAAATAGTACACTTAATATATTAATCATACATATATTATTACAATGACTAAAACTTATTCCCTGAATGTTTCTACTGTGAGTTTGGCTTACTCCACCATTTCTTTATTCAATTCTGAAGTTTGGACTAAAAAGCCTCACTAAGCAAAACAAGTATCAGGGCCTTTATACTTATGTAAATAGAAAGCTAACTACATATTCATTTTTCAATTTTCATTTTTTTTTTACAAAATGAATTAGATCAACAATTGATTGCTAACTATGTTTGCCATCTTGGGTGAAGAATGAGACATATGTCCATGGCAATTCTCTCTGAGTTACTAAGGTACCCACCGAGCTCATTTTACACTAAGAAGGCACTCCTGCCAGACATCTTTCAAGTGGGGTTAGTTTGCAACCAACATCTCTTGGGAAAAGTAACATTTTCCTAATTGTTTTAATGGCTTGAATATTTAATAAGAGAGTGATATAATCATGTTTTTGGTGTTAGAGAGATCGCTTTGGCAAAAGTTGGGAAGGGACTGCCAGTGTGGGGGTGAGAGCTATTCTGATCACTAGAAGACTGGCCACATGGCTACTGCAAGAGTCCACACTAGAGGTCAGGTAATCCTGTTCCCGTGTCAAGCAGGAGAGGAAGAGATGGAAGCAGGACATGAATTTCTAGGAAACCTAAGTAGGTGGAACTGACAGAACTTGATGATCCATTTCGTTTAGGACTGAAGAAGAGTGAGAAATAAAGGATGACTTGGGGCCGGTGTTGTGGCGCAGTGGGTTAATGCCCTGGCCTGAAGCACTGGCGTCCCATATGGGTACCAGTTCCAGTCCCGGCTGCTAGACAAAACAAAACAAAACAAAAACCAACAAATGAAGTTGTAGGATAGTGACTCAAGAAGCAAGAAGTGAGCTAGTGGCACTGTGGCACAGTGGGTTAAAGCCTCAGTCTGCAGCACCAGCATCCCATATGCACACCAGTTTGAGTCTCAGGTACTCCACTTCTTATCCAGCTTCCTGATAATGTGCCCGGGAAAGCAGCAGAGGATGGCCCAAGTCCTTGGGCCCCTGCACCCACAAGGGAGACCCAGAAGAAGCTCCTGGCTCTTGGCTTCAGATTGGCTCAGCTCTGGCCATTGCAAACCATTTGGAGAGTGAACCAGCAAATAGAAGACCTCTCTTTCTATATCTCCAACTCTCTATCTAACTCTGTCTTTCAAATAAAGAAAATAAATCTTAAAAAAAAAAAAAGAAGAAGAAAGCTGGCACCACGGCTCACTAGGCTAATCCTCCACCTGCGGCACCAATACCCCGGGTTCTAGTCCCGGTTGGGGCGCCAGTTCTGTCCCATTGCTCCTCTTCCAGTCCAGCTCTCTGCAGTGGCCCGAGAAGGCAGTGGAGGATGGCCTAAGTGCTTGGGCCCTGCACCCACATGGGAGACCAGGAGGAAGCGCCTGGCTCCTGGCTTCGGATCGGCACAGCACGCCAGCCGTAGTGGTCATTTGGGGGGTGAACCAACAGAAGAAAGACCTTTCTCTCTGTCTCTCTCTCTCTCACTGTCTAACTCTGCCTGTCAAAAAATAAAAATAAATAAAAATAAATAAAAGAAGAAGAAGTGATCCAGGAGATATTTCTCATGGAGACAAACAAAGGGGACTCAAGGGTACTGTCAAGGCCACAGAGCAATCAAGTAGGAGGCAAACTGAAGGGTGTCCAGTGGATTTGGTCACTTAGATTTTGAAGAGTAAAGAAGAGGCAAAAGAAGACAGATTGTAGTCAATAATGAAACAAGTGGAAGGAGAGGAAATGGAATCAGTGGGTATAGACAGCTTCTTCCAGCTTGGCTAGGAAAAGGAGGGTTATCTTGCAATAATGTGGAGAATTCAGAGAGGCATAGAACAGTGTTTCTTTTGTATGACTGGCAGTAAGGAGCTGAAGGAGAACAAGAACAGTGAGAATTTTAGGAATAGGGAGAAAAGAAAGAAGAATGTGAGTAATATCTAGATACCCTAAAGAAAGGGGGGAATTGAAGGAGTCTAAAGGAAAAATAATTTAGAGAAGAGATCCTTTTTCCCATTCCTCTCTCATGTTTTCTTTTTCATTTTCAGAGGTTTTGTGAATGAAGAGAATCAAGATGGTGCCATGAACACTGATGGTAAGGGGAGAAAGATATTTATTTGTTACCTTTGGTACAGGGTTTGATTTAATCACTCTCCCAGGGTCTTTCATGGGTTAGCATCATCATGGGTCCATGCAAGTCCCCATTCTTCTTTTACTTACTTGTTTATTTCTCTTTATCCTCACAACCTGCTCCCTTTCTTCTTCCTTATATAAACAATATGTTCTAATGTATTCAATGTGTATGTATATGTTAGTGCACATTGTTTGCATATTGTGGTATGCATGTATAGACAAAATTACATAAGCAATTTAAGTTAGGAATTACTGTTTTTTATACACTCAATAAAATGTGGGATTTTTTTTTTTTTGAGCTAGCCATGTTACTGTGTATGTATTTTTTTAATCTGCTACTACAAACTACTACCCAGTACTCCATTGGTATGGCCCCACATTTTACTGGACTACAATTCATTGGTGCTACAATGCATCTTCTTAGGTATATCCCCACGTGAACTTTGGTGAGACTTGCTTTAAGATATATACCCAGAAATGGAATGGCTAGTCACAAGCCATGGAATATTTATGTTGACTAAATAAAGATAGGTCGCTCTCTAGAACAGATGCCTCTGTCTTCAACAGGGCATGATAGTTCCCACATGACTATCTTTTACTAGCACATGGCATTGTTCAGCTATCCAATTTTTTCCAGACTTATTTGTATAAAATTATTTCTCATTTTAATTTTTATATTTCAATTCATGTTAATTTTCATTTCATGGTTTTCTTTCTCTTGAGTTTGAGCACTTGATTTGCTTATTAGTCTTTGTGGTTTCCTTTTCTATAAGTTGCCAGTTCTATTCTTTGACCATTTTTTTTCTTGGTTAACTTGCAGAAGTTTCTTTACATTCCAGTGATTAACTCTACGCTGTTTCAAACAATTCAAATTTCTTCTTCCATTCTGCCATTGGTTATTAACTTAGCCCATGCTGTCATTCATTGCATATAGATGAATTTTCATGTAGTCAAATTAATTCATTTTTGTCTCTTTTTAAAGATTATTTTATTTATTTGAAAGACAGAGTTACAGAGAGAGGGAGAGACAGGTCTTTCATCTACTGGTTCACTCCCCAAACAGCTACAACAGCCAGAGCTGAGCCAATCTGAACCCAGGAGCCAGGAGCTTCTTTTAGGTCTCCCAAATGAGTGCAGGGGCCCCAAGCACTTGGGCCATCCTCTGCTGCTTTCCCAGGGCACATTAGCAAGGAGTTGGATCAGCATTGGAGCAGCAGGGACTCAAACCAACGCCATATGGGATGCGGGCCTGAGCTTTAATCCTCTGTGCCACAGTGCCAGCCCCTCATTTTTATCCTTTAAATTTTATTGCACAAGTTCTTGTCCAAGGAAAAGTTCATATTTTTTGTAGGAACCATCATTTGTATTTGTGTCTTTGATCTCTTTGTATTACAGTTTAAGAATTTAATAGAAATCAGATTTGTTATCTCATGTATGAAGTCGGTTTGTTCATCACGCACTATATTTTAAACAATCTTTCCTTTTCCCATTAACTATTATAAAATATACTATAGCACCATTATACTATAGAATTCTATAGGTATGTGTGTGCTTGTGTGTATATTATGAATGTGTCTATGTAAACTTATGTACTCTACATTATTCCATTAACCTATTTGTCTATTCTTATACTAATATCACATTATTTGCATTACAATTATTCTTGTTTATTATTTTTATTATTAACTTATATACAATTAGTATCTGATAATTAGTTGATCTTACACTAAACTCAAGCAACAATTTTAAAAACTTAACTAACTCAACTTATTTGATATAAGAAAGCAAGCCCTTGGGAACAAATGAGCCTAAAATTATGAACTTGTGATTTTTTTCATAATACTTTTTTCCACATAAGCCCATAGAATCAAATGTATACACATTTTGTAAAGGGAGTAAAGGGTGTCTTCATTATTTTTTGACCTTGCATTATTTTATAAAAGCCAATGAAAGAATTTTATAATTATTTATAAGTCTCAAAAAGCCATAGTAAATATCTAAAGCACATAATTTATTCTATACTTTCATATCTTTTATAAAGCATGAGTTTGTTAAATTAGAAACTATTTTGAAATTATCATGTTATATCCAATCATCCTAAAATGATTCTAACTATTGTGTATTTTTTTTAACTTTTATTTAATGAATATAGATTTCCAAAGTACAGCTTATGGACTACATTGGCTCCCCCCCCCATGACTTCCCTCCCACCCACAACCCTCCCCTTTCCCGCGCTCTCTCCCCTACCATTCATATCAAGATTCATTTTCAATTTTCTATATATACAGAGGATCAGTTTAGTATGCATTAAGTAAGGATTTCAACAGTTTGCACCCCCATAGAAACACAAAGTGAAATATATTGTTTGAGTACTCGTTATAGCATTAAATCTCAATGTACAGCACATTAAGGATAGAGATCCTACATGAGGAGTAAGTGCACAGTGACTCCTGTTGTTGACTTTACCAATTGACACTCCTGTTTATGGCATCAGTAATCTCCCTATGCTCCAGTCCTAACTATTGTGTATTACATTTTATTCTTTTTTAAATCCTGTAGGTCCTGGAAACATAGAAGAGGTGAGATTTGTTTCCTTTTATTCTCATTATATGGCTATAACAATGTATTTAACAATTACCGTATCGTGATTCACTTTCAAACAAATAAAATTCTTATGAGCAATGATAATATTTTTCTATTTAAATTCTTCTAAATGCTTGAGACATTAAATACCAATCATTGCATTGACTTGTAATAATGTTGTAGTACTGAATAAACTTAGGTCTGGATACACATCTGAATTAAAAGGCAAAACAGAAAATAAAATATTTTTTTCTGCTTGCTAAGTCTCTCTTTAAAAAGTATTTTAAGCATTCCAAACGTGCATGCACTTAAATGATATAAACTTGCAAATATTGTTTTGAAAAGTATTTGATCAATGTAGTATGTGTATGTTGCCTTTTTGAATAATCAAAGTCATTCTTTATCAATGCTTTCTTGACAGGAACAAGAGAGTGATGGAGAAACATATGAAGACATGTATGAATTATACTTTTTACCAAATTTTTCTTCTAAGATGAATATAATATTTTGTATGATGGGAAGTTGGTATTCAACACTAGGGAAAAAAAGTTACTTGTTCAAATTTTTGGCTTATCATGGTAATCTTTACTGAAATACAAAGGAGTAGAAATTCCTTACTTCTTCAAGGACTTTAAGACTCTGTTAAAAGGCTGTACTATAAGAGGCCACAGACCCACAGAATACTAGATAGACTACAGGAAGGAATCAGAGACAGGAATGTATAAATCATACTCTCTGTGTGTCCTTAGGCAAATGAATTACTTTGTGCTATTTTATGTGTTATACCTTCTTCACCTCCTTGCAGCACTTTCACCTATGTAGGTGCTTTGAGAAATAATTTAGCATGGCACCCAGATTCCAAAGTTTCATCCTAGTAAAATAGAAAGTTACCAAAAAAAAAAAACAAAAACAAACAAACCTCCAAAATGAGTTTCTAGATTGCCTAGGACCAAGGCATTTCTTGGAAAGTGGGTGGAAGTAGACATGAATATGCTATCTTATCACATGTTAATCTCAGGTATCTTAATTTTCTCTATCCAAGTTCTTATGCCGCCAATTTGCACTACAGTTTCTGAGCCAACGTTAGCATGTGCATGAGAGAGAGATTCATTCTATTCATGCTGACATGCAGCAAGAATGGACCCTTGATAAACAGTGTCTTGCACTTGCTGGCAGAAGCTGTAAGGGGAAGCAGAGCCTTGGGAAGGTGTCTTTAGCTATGTGCCGCCCATTGGTTTTAAAAACAGACTCACGCTTCCACGATTTTAACAACCCTTAGCGTTTTACCTTCATCCACGTTTCAGATACCACCTTCAGCTGTGGTTGCAGGTAGAAAGCTCTCTGCGGGTATAGAAGCAACCTAACAATCTGTGTTCACAGAGAAGCAACCAAAGAACGAGAGAAGAAGAGGGAAAAGGAAGAAAAGAAGAGACTAGAGCTGGAGAAAAAGGAGCAAAAAGAGAAAGAAAAGAAAGAGCAGGAGATAAAGAAGAAATTTAAAGTAAGAGCTTGCTTGCTGATGGGTAAAAGAGCAACTTTTCTTTATAACCTTCACACAAAGAAGACCTTACATCATTGGAGAATTACTTAATTGTTGTATTTTTATAAAGCTTATATGTAATGAATGCAAATTTCATAGGTACAACTTTAGGAATATAGTGGTTCTTTCCCCCATACCCACCCTCCTACCCTGCCTCCCACTGCACCTCCTACTCCCTCTCCCATCGCATTCTTCATTAAGATTCACTTTTAATTAAATTTATATGCAGAGGACCAACTCTATATGAAGTAAAGATGTCAATAGTTTGCACCCCCCCACACACACAACATATAAAGTACTGCTTGAGAACAAGTTTTGCAGTTAATTCTCATAGTACAACTCATTAAGGACAGAGATCCTACATGGGGAGTAAATGCACAGTGACTGCTATTGTTAATATAACAACACTCTTATTTATGACGTCAGTGATCATCTGAGGCTCTTACCATGAGCTGCCAAGGCTATGGAAGCCTTTTGAGCCCACAAATTCTGTCATTATTTAGACAGAACCATAAACAAAGTGGGAGTTCTCTCCTCCCTTCAGAGAAAGGCACCTCCTTCTTTGATAGTCCCTTCTTTCTGCTGGGTTCTCACTCACAGAAATCCTTAACGTAGGATATTTTTTTGTCATGGTGTCTTGGCTTTCCAAGCCTGAAATTCTCTCATAGGCTTTTGAGCCAAATCTGATTGCCTTAAGGGCTGATTCTGAGATTGGAGTGTTACTTAAAGCGATTGTCTTTCTATGATTCTGCTGTGTGGATTGCTTCCCATGTTGGACATTCCCTCCTTTTTAATTCTGTCTTTTATTATTACCAGGCACTTGATGCTGTTTATATGATCTCTTTAACACTTAATCCTATCTATATGTTCAGTTTAACACTTAATATGATCACTTTAACTTAATTGTTGTTTTTAAAGAGTAGCTATCTTTACAACTATATTTTCTTGCCTAATACACTCCCTTAAGATCTCTACAGTAAATAAAATGCAATATGATAAAAATCCAAATAAAGTAATTTGCTTATAGCCAGTGAGCAATCAGGAAATTTTATGTTGATTGAGTGAGTGAATACTGGATTACTAAAATCCATCTTGGCTCCCCCCATTGCCTATTTCATATTGGTCTACTTAGATAGAGAACTTAGGACCACACAGATATCCTAGTGGCTTATATGACAGCTGGGGAAGGGACACACACGTGTCTCCTAAGTGAACCACATGGGCCCAGCGCCATGGCTCACTTGGTTAATCCTCTGCCTGTGGCACTGGCATTCCATATGGGCTCCGGGTTCTAGTCCCGGTTGCTCCTCTTCCAGTCCAGCTCTCTGCTGTGGGCCGGGAGGGCAGTGGAGGATAGCCCAAGTGCTTGGGCTCCTGCACCCGCATGGGAGACCGGGAAGAAGCACCTGGCTCCTGGCTTCGGGATCAGCGTAGCTCCGGCCGTAGCAGCCATTTGGGGTGTGAACCAATGGAAGGACGACCTTTCTCTCTGTCTCTCTCACTGCTAACTCTATCTGTCAAATTAAAAAAAAAAAAAAAAAAAAAAAAGAGATTTCCATGAACTACTCTAATTGCTGGTATCTAGACCCAACTTACATTTTTGCCCTTATTTTGAGCCTGTGTTTATGTTGATTTCTTTCCTTTTTTTTTTTTTTTTTTTTTTTTTTTTTTTTTTTTTTTTTTGACAGGCAGAGTGGACAGTGAGAGAGACAGAGAGAAAGGTCTTCCTTTTGCCATTGGTTCACCCTCCAATGGCCGCCGCGGCCGGTGCACTGCGGCCGGCGCATCGTGCTGATCTTGCTTCTCCTGGTCTCCCATGTGGGTGCAGGGCCCAAGCACTTGGGCCATCCTCCACTGCACTCCCGGGCCACAGCAGAGAGCTGGCCTGGAAGAGGGGCAACCGGGACAGAATCCGGCGCCCCGACCAGGACTAGAACCTGGTGTGCAGGCGCTGCAGGCAGAGGATTAGCCTGTTGAGCCACGGCGCCGGCATTATGTTGATTTCTAATACATGATATTCCTCATCCCTCTGTCTACCCAGATTTCTCATATTTGTCTTCTCTGAGCTCTGGTGATTGCATGACTTCTCCTACCACCATTAAACATGACACTCACAAGCTATTCTCTCCTTTCCCTGTCTCCCTCCTCCCTACCTCTCCCTCACTGTCTCAGCTACACCATCTTTGATGACACAGTCCCTCTGGTATGGGTCTGGAATCAGATACATCCAGGAGGATTATGTGCATTATAAAACTATTCTTCACTTTGAAAAGGATCGACAGTGTGATTCCTTTAAATATTTATTCCTCTAATAAATCTGATTTATTTGTAACTTCCCAGCACATTTACTGTATTAAAGCAAAGGTTCAGTGTTATGCTGCAGGGGAAACAGTTTACAGTCAATTGGACAGATGGGGATTTGAATTCCAGTGTACATGTGAGTTATATGATCCTAGGCTTTCTACTTCTCTGAGCCTTGGAGTCTTACTCTTTTCTTCAAAGGAAGAATAAATTATATACTTTGGAAAGTTTATTATGGAAGTAAATTAAATTATGCACAAAAGCCATTGTATTTATCACAATTTTTCATTACATTTTGAAAAGGCTCACTATCAAAAGTAAAATTATGATTACAATATTAAAATGTTTTATTCACACAGAATGCATGGCTATCAATGTTTATATTTTCCTAATGAATAATTTCTTAATAAATTTCTAAGTGAATAATTTTTCTTACTAAAAATCTACATATACTTTTCATTAAAATATTATAGTTTTAAACAATGTATGTAAGACTTTACTTTGATTCTTTTAAGAGAAATCAGTTTTATATTGTTTACTTATTCATTCAAATAATATATTTTAGTAAGAAAGATAGAATATGAAATTCATACTGCTAAATATGAACTCGAAAGTTTGTTAAAACTAGGACTTCACTTCTGTAAGGTATCAATAGATATTAGGTAAAAAAATTAAATAAACATAAGGACTAAGCCCCATTAACATTTAACTTAAACTATTTTCATTCCTTCTTACTAGTAAATAATTCACAATATATGTTATAAGTCATGGCTTCATTGATTCAATAACATAAAGTATAGCTTCAAGAGTGATAATGCATATTTGCATATCAAAAGACTCAAGAAGTTCTGTTGAAGACACTAATTTAGGGTGAGGAAATGAGAGCTGTAGGATTCACAAGCTAAACTAGGTTATTGCCCTGCTGTCGAAAAAATGCCATACTGCTCAAGTTATTAACTTTACAACATTATACAACGTTCGTCTGCTGATTTTTATTTACAAAGATATCTCTGAAATGGTATTTATAGCAGGTGATGTCTACTTCCAGCTTATAGACAATGATAAGAATAAAAGGAGGGAAAGCAAATGCTTTTCCCACACTGTTACCTTCCCCTGCCTGCTCCCTTCTCCTTGCTGTTTGAGAGCTGCAGAAAAACACCAGAATAATCACACAAAGCACTCAGGATGCACGTTGTATGTAGGTGATGTCCAGTTAGGCGCCTCCTTCCCGGGCCTCTTGCAGAGTTCCTAAGTCAACAGATCCCGGCGACCCCCTCCAGGACCCCAAGCTCATGCTTACCTGTTCTTTGCTGGTCTGCTTCACCTCTGTGAAGCCTCTCCATACCCACCCACAAAAAGAACATTTACCGGGAATGGCAGTCACCCTAAAGTTCTATTTCAAACGTGTAAGTTGGATGCAGGCAGGTTAGCTGGTTGTGGACATATTTCACAACTATGTTCCCTAAGGATTTTCTGAATAGTGAGGAAACTTATCGTGATTTTTTTTCACTCTCTGTAGCTGACAGGCCCTATTCAAGTCATCCACCAGGCAAAGGCCTGCTGTGATGTCAAAGGAGGGAAGAATGAACTGAGCTTCAAGCAAGGAGACCAAATTGAAATAATCCGCCTCACCGACAACCCTGAAGGAAAATGGTTGGGCCGAACCTCCAAGGGCTCGTGTGAGTTCAGCTTCCTATGACTTTCTTTTTGAGCCAAAATGCAAATTCTTCCAGACCTATAATAGCATCAAGTTAGGAGTATGTGATCAAATAGATTTAAGATAGAAACACTTCAAATGGCAGATACAAGTCCATCTTCATCTCATCTGTGTTATGTTCTTAGTGAGGAACAATGTAAAATTTTATATTATTTCAGAAAGGAACAAAGGGCATTAGGTTCTTCAGTGATGCTAGAAAACAACAAGGCTTCATGTTAGTCACTTTGAAATATTTACCCTAAATTCTAATAGGAAGATCTTTAAGTCAGAATTGCAAGGGAATAAAGAAAAGAAAAATTTTCAAGAGCAAATGTGCAATTGATATTTTGTTCACAACTTGAAAAATATTTAAGCTACAATTAACTGAACCTAAGTCTTTCCCTTTTCGGTAGATGGCTATATTAAAACAACCGCTGTAGAGATTGACTACGATTCTTTGAAACGCAAAAAATCCTCTCTTGGTGCTGCTCTTTCATCAAGACCTATTGAAGAAGACCAAGAAGTCTATGATGATGTTGCAGAGCAAGATGACGTTAGCAGGTGTGTGCAAATACTTCCATTTTTGTTGTTTGAGAAGCAGAAAAATAGATAGGCCGAGAGAGAGCTCTCATTCCCTGTTTCACTCCCCAAATGTCGATACAGATCCCAAGTGGGGCAAGGCCAAAGTCAGGAGGCAGGAACACAATCCTGGTTTCCAATGTGGATGACAAGAACCCAGTTTCTTGAGTTACCATCACTGCCTCTCAGGGTCTGCATTAGCAGAAAACTGGAGTCAGGAGTCAGCCCTGAGGCTCTAATCCAGGTACCCCAATGTGGAACGCCAGCATTTCAACCACTAGGCTAGACACCTGCCCTGCAAATACATATTATAAAACAGATTGCACCATCTCCTTGTCACAGATTTTATGTTGTAAGATCCTAGAATTTTTCTTCCCATATCTCCTAGAGCTTTCTATCACTGAACTGACTTACCACTTGGAATAACCCCAGTATGGGTGAAAGGTCATTTGAAAGTCAATAGTTTGTTTTTTCTAATTTACTGATTGATTATATGAAAGTAACTCAAAAAGTTCACGGAAGAGTGGAATTAAAAGATACATTTGGCACAGTGGTCTTGGTGCTGCTTTTTGGATGCTCACATCCCGTATTACAGTGCCTGGGTTATGATCCTGGCTCTACTTCCGATTGCAGCTTTCTACTAATGCATACCCTGGGAAGCTGTAGGTGATGGCCCAAGTAGTGGGGACCTTGCCATCCATGTGAGAGACCTAAATTGGGTTCTGGGATCTTGGCTTCATTCTGTCCCAGCCCCAGCTCTTGCAGGCATTTGGGAAATGAACCAGTAGGTGGAAGATCTTTATCTCTCTGTTTCTCTTCCAAATAAATGAAAGTAAGTAAACAATTTTAGAAGATAAATTTGTTTCGGTAGAAAAAATTTGAAATCTATGCATACTTTTTCAACAATATATATTTCCATAAGTTTTTTGAGGATCCCTCATGCATGGATTTCAAAATTTTTACACCAAGATGAACTTGTCTTTTAATTCTATTGCCCACAAACTTTTCAAAAAGTTCCATTGTATGTATCAACTACTACTTGAAATGTATAGACTATTTGCCAGATCTTGTCAAAAGTGTTGTCATTTCAAAACACTGTTTTATATAAAATATTCATCATGATTGGGTCTTAGGGATATACCTTAAGTAAACATGAAACAAACTATAAAATTGATCTCTTTTGCTCTGAAATATGAGTCTAAATATTTTTGAAAATATAACAGAAAAAAAAGAATTAATTATACTACTTCTCCAGTTGACTTTTTTTGAAGTAAAAATTCCCTAAATGGGGTTAGTGTTGTAGCTTAGACAGTAGAGCCTCTGCCCACGATGCTGGTGTCCCGTGTGGGTATCTGTTCTTGTCCTGGCTGTTCCACTTCTGATGTCAGCTCCCTGCTAATGGCCTGGGAAAAGCTGTGGAATCTGGTCCAAGTACTTGGACTTCTGCCACCCACGTGGGAGACCCAGATGAAGCTCTTGGCTTCACCCTGGCTCAGGGCTGGCTGTTGCAGCCACCTGGGGAGTGACCCAGCAGATGGAAGACCTCTTTCTCTCTGTCTCTCCTCTGCAACTCTTACTTTCAAATAAATCAATAAATTTTTAACTCTCTATAATCTGAGTATCAAGGGTCCAACTTTCCATGGCCCTTAACTCCACTAGATTAAGATGACCTTCCCTCCAAGAATGAAGGGAACACCTTTCTGGGAGAGAAGGGGACAGCAAGGCAGCCCTGCTGGAGGGGGACAGAGGGGAGACTGGCTGTCTCCTCCCAGTTCTCGACGCTGCCTTCTTTCCTTCCTCTGTCTTCAGCTTCCTTTCACCAGCCCTTCCCTTTGGTCTCTGTCCGACCACTCATCTTCCTTTGTCTTTCTTTTTTGCTCCTTTACCTTCTCCTTCTTGCGTCCCCTCTCTAACCATACCTGTATTTCCTGTGACAGCCACCATCCCCTCAAGTTGAAGGAAAAAGAGGGGAGGAATCTCCAGTCTAGTTAGTGGTTCTCAGTTTTCTGTATCCACCTGAGACAATGGAAAATCTCAATTGACAGCCCCAATCCGTAATCTCTGCCAGGGCTTTACCCAGGTACACTGTGTCTACATGCTTCGTAAGTGAAACGTAAACAATAAGATTTTAAATTACCAACCTTTTTAAAAATGTAAACTACCATATTAGGAATATCCTTGTGAAGCAGATGAAGAATTAAATTTTTTGCTATGATCTTTGACCTCATGTCATCAACTAAACTTAGTTGCTTTCAGGCAGCTGCTGTTTTTCTAAAAAGAATTACAACGTGCTCTACCTTCATACCAGGTTACAACCATAAATTATGCAATGTAATAAAACATGAAAACTATGCACTGGAGTTTACAGGTCCCAAACTGGCTTTCGTAAGAAGAAACCAAGCTGTGGCGCAGTGGCTGCTGCCTTCAGTGCCGGCATCCTATATGGGTTCCAGTTTGAGTCCCAGCTGCTCCACTTCAGATCCAGCTCTCTGCTATGGCCTGGGAAAGCAGTGGAGGATGGCCCAAGTGGTTGGGTCCCTGCACCCTCATGGGAGACCTAGAAGAAGCTCCTGGCTCCTGGCTTTGGACTAGCACAGCTCCGCCTGTTGAGGCCAGTTGGGGAGTGAACCAGCAGATGAAAGGCCTGATCCAGCTTCCTGCTAATGTGCCTGGGAAGGCAATGAAAGATAGCCCAAATACCTGGACCACTGCCACCCATGTGGGAGACCCAGATGGAGCTCCAGGCTCCTGACACTGGCCTGGGCCAGTCCTGGCCAACTGAAGCCTTTTAAGGAGTAAATCAGTGGATGGAAGATATTCTCACTCACTCACTCACTCACTCTCCCCTTCAAATAAATAAATCTTTAAAAGAAAAGATTGGGAGAGTTACATCAGCTCAGAGTATGTAATTGTCCTGAAAGGTTGCAACATCAGACTGATCTCTTTGCAGATTAACCAAGGGGCAAAAGTGAGGATCAGCAGTACCAAGCTAAGTGTAGAGTTGGGTTTGTTAAAGTTATTTTTTAGAGCCTCCATTAATTTCTACAAAATGAGGGGACTGATAACTTCCAATGATTTTTCCAGTTCTCAGAGTCTACATTTCCTTCCCTCCTGCAGAACTCATGTTTTAGTGGGAGACACAGGCAAGAAAAAAGAGAACCATCACATGAATGCTGAAGCAGGGAAAATACAGAATGTTATGGAAGTGAGGAAGAAACACAGGCTATTAGGATTTAGACAGCATGGGGCCATACCATATAAAAGTCCTGTGAATAAGAATTCAGTTTTTGAAAAGTTCTCCCTTTAGGGCCCACACCATGGCTCACTTGGTTAATCCTCCACCTGCAGCGCCAGCATCCCATATGGGCGCCGGGTTCTAGTCCCAGTTGCTCCTCTTCCAGTCCAGCTCTCTGCATGGCCCGGAAGGGCAGTGGAGGATGGCCCAGGTGCTTGGGCCCCTGCACCCGCATGGGAGACCAGGAAGAAGCACCTGGCTCCTGGCTTCAGATCAGTGCAGCGCCGGCCGTAGCGGTCATTTGGGAAATGAACCAACGGATGGAAGACCTTTCTCTCTGTCTCTCTCTCTCTACCTGTCAAAAAAAAAAAAAAAAAGTTCTCCCTTAAAAAAAATTTTAATGCTGTTAGATTAAGAGAAACATGACATAGTAATAAGATAGTGAAAGATAACTGGATTTAGTACAATGCAATTGCTCTGTTTGACTCCCACAATAATGACATTGGGTTTTTCTAACAGCCCATCTGTTGATTGATAAAATAATGTATTATCTGAAAAATGTCTCATGGAAAAATGTTAAAAGCAAAGAGTATCATTGTTTTTGAATACAATATGTAGTAACTTACTTGATTCCTGTTTTCTGTTTGCTTCATTGTTATTACTCATCTATTGTAAGGGGCATTTTTCTGCCTTTTCACGTCTAACCACCTGATAACTTTTAGCTGGAATGTTACTTATATTTTATAAAACTTGTCAATATGTGTATTTCTGTTCCTGATAGCTAAATAATTCATGTATTAATTGAATGTTTCTGGGCTTTTTCCTAGCCACAGTCACAGTGGAAGTGGAGGTAAGCTACACACTTTTATAAAGAGTTTCTCCACATGTCTTCAGCATTTATATTATATGATGTTGAGATTATATTAATTATATTAAAGGCAAAATATTTTCCTAATAACAAAGGGTCTTAATGCATTGGAAAGAACACCAGCCTGAGAGCCAATTATCTAGATTTAAGTCCTGGCCACCAACCGACTCTGAGCCATTTACTTGTTCTTGACTAGCTTGTTAGGGATCACAAGAAGACCCCACTTTGAAAATTTCCCAGGGGCAGCCTTGGTGCTTGCCAATTTTCTGAGCGTACCTAATGACAGCAGCCCTTTCATTCTCATAGCTATCCTGTCTAGATAAGTACACTTGTTTAGTCACCTTGACTATGACGCTTAAAGACCTGTAGATTTCCCAGCAACAAATAAGTGATTTGAACTACTACCTTGCAATGCCAAAGTTCTCATTCAAATTTCTTCATTTGTATATTCCTACATAGAGAAGTACCCATTAAATATTTGTTAAATAGCAAATTTCCTGAAGAATTAGCATAACAAGTGATATGGAGAAAGGGTTTAACCTTTAAAAATATGTATAAAAGTGTCTACTTTTTGAATCTGGTGTTGTGGTACAGTGAGTGAAGCCATTGCCTCCAATGCTGCCATCCTATTTGAGTACCAGTTGGAGTCTGGCTGCTCCAATTCTGATCCAGCTCCCTGCTATTGCACATAGGAAGGCAGCAGAAGATGGCTCAAGTGCTTGGGCTCCTGCCACCCATGTGGGAGACCGGGATGGAGTTTCAGGTTCATGGCTTCAGTCTGGTCCAGTCTTAGCCACTGCAGTCATTTCTGGATTGAACCAGTGTAAGGAAGATCAACTGATCTATCGATTGATCTCTCTCTCTCTCTAACTCTACCTTTCAAATAAAAAATACATCGGTTTTTAAAAATGTGACTTAATTTCTTTCTTTGTTTCAGTTACTATCAATGTTTCACTTTCCATTCCATTTTGCTTTTCTTTACTTACATCTTGATCAATATGTTTTTCTGAATAGCTCTCACTGTTAACTGAATTTTTCTTATCACTTCTTCGCATATCTTTTTTCCACAGTACGTATATGTCTCAGATTCAATTTTGCTTTTTTCATGTTTATTCTTCCCCATCCCTGTCATCTCAAATTTGGAGTACCTCTTATCATTCTTCATTTATATAACTCAGCCCTACGAATTTCTTTTAAAATGACCCACAGAGCAACTAATTTACTATCTATGTGAGAGTGGGAATATAAACAGTTTTTAAACTTAAATGGTTATTGTGAAGAGGAATAATAAGAGGTAAATAAGAAGGATTTGTTATCCGAATCCGAGGGGCCTTTACATAACCGAGTTACAAGAATTAATAAAAGACTTTCTTTCTGCTCTAAATGAAGGGATGTTCCCACCACCTCCAGATGACGACATTTATGATGGGATAGAAGAGGAAGATGCTGGCGAGGGGTAAGAATAATCAGTGAATTGCCTTTTGGAAATTATTATCCACACTGAAATTTTATTTTGAGTTCCAATTAAGATAAAAAGCGGAAAACATCATTAGATTACCAAAATGACTTGAGTGTTTAATTAACAGAAACAGTAAATCAGGAAGTATAATTGTACCACACTTCAAATGAAATGGTAGCTTGTCTGGAAAAGCCTCAGCAACTATGGCAGCAGAAGTGAAATGAAAAGGGGATAAATTACTGGTGTGGCAGGTATTTTTTCTTTTTTTTAATTTTTTTTTTTATTTTTTGACAGGCAGAGTGGACAGTGAAAGAGAGAGAGATAGAGAGAAATGTCTTCCTTTGCCGTTGGTTCACCCTCCAATGGCCGCCGCAGCCAGCACGCTGCGGCCGGCGCACCGCGCTGATCCAATGGCAGGAGCCAGGCACTCATCCTGGTCTCCCATGGGGTGCAGGGGGCAGGTATTTTTTCAAAACTTTTCCAGTCTTTTACATAGCAATTAATAATTTAGTTTTTTAAATAAATGTTAGCTTTTTATTTTTTTTAAGATTTATTTGTTTATTTGAAAGGCAGAGTTACAGAGACGTTGAGGCAGAGGCAAAGAGAGGTCTTCCATCCGCTGGTTCACTCCCCAAATGGCCACACTGGCCAGAACTGCGCCGATCCGAAGCCAGGAGCCTGGAGCTTCTTCCAGGTCTCCCACATGGGTGCAGGGGCCCAAGTACTTGGGCCATCTTCTGCTTTCCCAGGCAATAGCAGAGAGCTGGATCAGAAGTGGAGCAGCTGGGACTCGAACCAGTGCCCATATGGGATGCCAGCACTGGAGATGGCGGCTTTACCCATTAAGCCACAGCACCAGCTCCAATAATTTACTTTTATAACATCTGGAGAGTTTATCAGCTATCCTGTACAATAACATAATTATAGGCAACCTAACTAAATTGACACCAGATGCTGTTTGTGCCTGAACCAGTGTTATATACTTGATCATTTAGCTTCAGAATAAATATCTTTATATTTATAATAATAATTTATAAAATAATAAATAATTTCTATTTTGAAATGGCACCTTTAAAAATTTAAGATCAGCATTTATATAAGTTTAATCATAAGTAAAGCTAAATTGATGTTCAAAATTTAATCGACAGTTTCATAGTTAAAGAGAAAAAATTGATTAATCTGGTAGGAACAGTATTCAAACTTCATGATCTATAAACTTAGTAGTACCATCTTCCTGGTAAACAGTGAGTTTGTTGTTACCTGTATGATCAGTAATCATAATGAACAATAATTATAAAAATCTGAATCTCCACATAATGTCTTCACATCCCACTGATTATTGCATTCTGATCCATGCCTGCGTGCTCCAAAGCTCTATGCTACAGGTTGAAGAGAAGAGTAACATGTGGCCCTGGGGCATTTTGAAGATGTTAAAGGGAAAAGATGACAAAAAGAAAAGTATGCGAGAGAAACCTAAAGTCCCTGAGTCAGAAAATAATGAAGGTTCATCGTAAGAGTCGACCAGCCAAATCCAGCACACAATAACTACACTAATGTTATTTCAATCAAATGCTACTAATATTCTCTCATGATAATCCAATCTTGATAGGCTTAAACCATCTTAATATTATTTTCTATTAATCATGTTAGCCTCATTTATGGTGTCATTCTTTTTTTTTTTTTTTTTATGTGACAGAGTTATAGACAGTAGGAAAGAGAGACAGAAAGGTCTTCCTTCCATTGGTTCACTCCCCAAAATGGCTGCTATGGCCGGCGCTGCACCGATCCCAAGCCAGGAGCCAGGTGCTTCTTCCTGATCTCCCATGCGGGTACAGGGGCCCAAGCACTTGGGCCATCTTCTACTTCTTTCCCAGGCCACAGCAGAGAGCTGGACTGGAAGAGGAGCAACCGGGACTAGAACCCAGCACCCATATGGGATGCCGGTGCTGCAGGTGGAGGATTAACCCAGTGAGCCACGGCGCCAGCCCCTCTTTTTTTTTTTTTTAAGATTTATTTTATTTATTTGAAAGACAGAGTTACAGAGAGAGGTAGAAACAGAGAGAGAGGTCTTCCATCTACCAGTTCACTCCCCAGATGGCCGCAACAGCCAGAGTTGCACCGATCTGAAGCCAGGAGCCAGGAGCTTCTTTCAGGTCTCCTACATGGGTGCAGGGGTCCAAGGACTTGGACCATCTTCTACTGTTATCTCAGGCCATAGCAGCGAGCTGGATTGGAATAGGAGCAGCCAGGACTCAAACTGGTGCCCATATGGGATGCCAGCTTTCAGGCCAGGGCTTTAACCCGCTGCACCACAGCGCTGGCACCTGGTGTTGTTCTTAAACTCAAACATTACATAAAATCAAGTATTCATTACATAAAATCAAGGATTCAAAAATCATTATATAGTTCAAAGATTTATTTTACTTTCCCCTAAAATACATACACATGGATGTGCACGCACACACACTCATATGCAAAACAATCATACACTCAATTTAGTTGGACTTTCTAAAACTGTAACATCACATTTAAAGCTTACAATTCCAGTGCCACATTTAACATATAGATCTTTACATTGATTACCCTTTGAAATATGCATTCTCTTTAAAATCAGTTTTCTAGAAATAAGGGATACAATGTAGACTTATTGTTTAATAATTTATTTATCTTTTTAAAAGGCAGAATGAGAGAGATAGGGAGAGGGAGAGACAGAGAGAGATCTTGCTTGCGTCTACTGGTTTACCCTCCATATGGTCACAATGACCAGAGCTAGGCCCAGGGTGGCCAGGTTGTAGCCAGAAGCATGGAACTCACCTGGGTCTCCCAGGTAGACAGCAGGGACCTAAGTACTTGAGCCATCATCCACCGTCCTTTCAGGCACATTAGCAGGAAGATGGATGGGAAGCAGAGCATCCAGATCTTGAACCAGCACTCCCGTATGGGATACTCACACATATGGGATACTAGTGTTGCAGGTGGTGGTTTAACCCACTGCACCACAACACTGGTTCCACAATTAGGAACTTTATTTTTCTAAATTCAGCATTTTCAAGTCCTTGTGACTCTGTTAGACAATAGCGATGTATTAATTATATTTGAATTATATTTCTTCTATACTAAAATTATTCTAAATATTGTTTATCTAAATAAAAACTAAGGCATACATTTTCTCTTTCGAACTCCAAACTCCTTAATATAAATTCCATACACATATATGAATTGAAAGAGTCTTAATTATGTTTCCTGGAACAGGGAAGTCTTCTGTTTTTATGTGTACCTAATGTACTCACCATATTTAACTGAAGTCTTCCTAAGATGTTAATTCTGTACAGAATTCCTGCTTTTACATACTTTTGTGAAACACCAAAGCAGTCAACAAATGCTACACCTGAAATCTGAACAAAGCATAAACAGAAGTTTTCAGAGCAGCATTACTCAAATATAACCCTTACTTAGAAATAAAACTTTTTTTTTGCTTCAATGAAACACCTCTCAATTCTGATTTTGGATCATTTGAATTAAAGACCTGTAACCCTTTACTTTAACCAGCCATTCCTGTTTTGTGCACCATTCTTTCATCTGTGTGGATACGTGTGTGTGTGTGTGTGTGTGGGCACATGCGCACAGAAGCCTTAATTCAAAAAGTAATAGAAGAAAAGGTCTTTTTCTGTTGCAACTAAATGCTACCTAATCCCAATTTCAGATCACATCTATTAATAAGCTCTCACTGTCCAGTTTAAGTGAGTATTTCTCTCTTATTCACCATTCTCCTATGGAGGTAGGGGTACATGTGTACCTGTTGTGGAAACATGTTCTTATTCCCATGACCTATGTTGATTTTGACACTGTTTTCATATTCTTTAATCCAGACAGTTTTGGACCAAAGCTTTATATGCCATATCACAGCAAAATATTGAATATATTTAATTTATTCTGGTATGATAATATGTCTAAACTTCATAGAACAAATCTGAAAACATTTATCCAGTGGCTGGAGTAAAATAAACCAACTGGTGTTTTAACTCTTGACTTCTTTGGCCAACACTGGAGCTCAAAAAAGTCTTCCTAAATTCCAAACTGGATAGACAGAAAGTCTGGCTTCATGGAGAAATGAGGGATAAGAAAGGAATGATTAACCACCACAAGCCTCTGGGCTGTTGATACCTCTCCTCTGTGAAGGAGTCCCTCTCCATGTTCATATCAGTCTGATTGTTTTCTCATTTTCCTTCTAGTTTCCCTTCTCCTCCTCAACAATTGGGTAAGTAACAAAACTAAATGTTAGTTTATATCATTATTTCTTGGAGTTGGAATAGTGCAAAGCATTGGATGTAATCACAGTGTCTCCATTAAATAATAAATTGTGAAGCCTTGGACAACTAACTTCACCTTGGGTGGCCACAGTTGCTCAACAGTGAAATAGAAGAATGAAGAAAATAAAAATATTGATGGCTTTTAAATAGTTTTTGCAGGAGCTGCTACGGTGTTAGGGATAAGCAGGAAGGGATGGACAACAACATCCTATATGTCTCTCCTCCCTTCATAAAATATCTAAAGATAAGCAGACTATATGCCACAAAGTCATCCTAAATCTAATTTCTTTTTAAATTTGCAATATATATCACATTTGGAAATTTTCAAACGTAGTAGTTTCTTCTTTGTGCAATGTCAGTTTATTTTTTAAACCCCTAATGATACAGATCTTTCAAAGATTTGCTAAAATTGACATTGAACAAAATAAAATGTTATCTCACAAGTATACTCAGGGGTTTCTGAAAGGTTTACTTATTTTGGTACATTAGAAGAGCAAGCCATAGAGATAGAGATAATCTGTCCTTGCAGATACATTATCTCACTTTAGAACCTTCTTTTCAGTTATCAGATTGAAAATACATAAGGAACTAATTCAAATTGGTCAGTACTTGATGACACACTTGTGTCCTAATCTATCATATTCAAGAAGTATTTACAACACTTAGGTATAAAGAGGAACAAATATGATCAAGTAAAAAATGTTTTTAGCTTTATGTGTTGTTGTTGTTTTAAAGACTTTGATGTTTTGTTTTAAGATTTATTTATCTATTTGAAAGGTTGAGTTACAGAGAGATACAGAGAGAGAAGGAGAGACAGAGAGACAGAGATCTTCTACGTGCTGCTTCACTCTCCAAATGGCTGCAATGACCAGGGCTGGACCAGGCAGAAGCCAGGAGCCAGGAGCTTCATCCAGGTCTCCCACATGGATTCAGGAGCCCAGGGACTTGGACCATCTTCTGCTGCTTTCCAAGGTGCATTAGTAGGGAACCGGATGGGAAATGAAGAAACTAGGATTTGAACTGGTACCTATATAGAATGTCAGCACTGCAGGCTATGGCTTAACCCACTGCATCACAGTGCCAGCCCCTATTTTTTTTGTTGTTTTTGAACGTGCATGTGGGGACTGATGTTGTGGTTCAGCAGGTTAAGTGCTGCCTGCAAAGCCAGCATCCCATGTGGACACCAGTTCAAGTCCTGGCTGCTCCATTTCACATCCAGTTTCCTGCTAATGCACCTGGGAAAGCAGCAGAAGATGGCCCAAGTCCCTGGGCCCCTGAATCCATGTGGGAGACCCGGATGAAGCTCCTGGCTTTGGCTTGAACCAGCCCTGGCTGTTGCAGCCATCTGGGGGCATGAACCAGTAGATTTCTCTCTCTGTCTCTTCTGTGTTTCTCTCTCTCTCCCTTTCTCCCTCTCTCTCTCTCTCTCTAACTCTGCCTTTCAAATAAGTAAATAAATTGTTTTAAATATTGCATGTATATGAAATACTAATTTTTACTGTTCTGGAAACCAATAATCTGTCATATTTATTATGGATTTTTCATGTAGTTGAGAAAATTTTATCCTATGACTTAATGAACCTGAATACAGAGAAAGAGAGAGAAATAGAGAAAGAGCACTAGAGATGAGAGAGAAATTTTTAAAGGCAATCAGTTCCTTGCCACTGTCAGAGAACACAAACTTGCTATGACAATAATTTCTTAAAATGCTTGCAATACTCATCATTTGGCTTCATTTGCTATCAAGCCACTTAGTAGATGCAGAGCAGCAGTGTTTTTCCTGATTTTATTAACATAAAATCTAGAAGGAAGACAAAATATATTCAGATTGGAAAAGCCATTGAACAAGTGAAGATCACGGCTGCTTTTTCTGCCAATAAAATTTCCCATTACCCGCTATCATCAAAGTATTTGTTAATAGAAATAACCCTTCTATTTGAAGGTGGGCCACTCCTAAGATCCCTATAAGGTAAAAGTTAAGAAAGAACACATCAATAAGTAAAATAGAAAGATGGAAGGGAGGGAGGGGAGGAAGGAGAAAAGAAAAGCCTGTGGAAGGATGGGTGGAGGGAGAAAAGTGAGAGAGAGACAAGAACATGGATATAGACATAAGGAAATATCTTGGCACAGCACCCCAAGTCCCCTAGGAATCTTGATGTCAGTCTCCACTTCTTACTGCCAATGGTCAGTCATATTGACTAGCTTGTCTGAAGTTCGTGACTCACACTTGGAATCTTCAGATGGTCATAAAGACTGTTCCATGTTCCCCCTGTAATGACAGTTACAATCATGGTCACGTGGTACTCAGACATCCGGAGAGATAAGAATTCCTCCCCTTCAGGAACAGACAGTACTTCCCGGAGAAATGTACGCAGACACCAGAAAATTACCTCTTACTTCCCTTGATGTACTCTTATGTAAAAAAATCACTGACTGCATCAGCTCAGAAGTACAAACGTCTTCCTCCAACCTTTTCCTCTCTTCTGTTAGAAATCGGAGATGAAGTTTATGATGACGTGGATGCTTCAGATTTCCCAGCGCCATCAGCAGAGATGAGGTAATTAAAATGTTTTTGTTCCAGTGAAGTGATAAAAAGACGTTGTTCAAGAAAATTCTATTGGAATAAAGACTCAGTGGGGAGTGGGAGGTGAAGAGGGCAGGCATGTGGCACCACAGTGCCCCATTCCATGCTAGAGCAAATGCTTCCTCTGCTTTCGACCCATCTTCCTGCCAATACGCATTGTGGAAGGCAACAGATAATGACACAAGTGCTTGGCTCTCTGCCACCTACTTAGAAGACCTGGATGGAATTCTGGGCTTCTGACTCAGCCTCGGCTATTGCAGACATTTGGAGAGTGAACCAGCAGGTGGAAAATCTCTGTCTCTCTGAAATAAAAATGAAAATAAATACATTTTAAAATGTGATCAGATATCTGCCTACTGTATGTATCTTATGTATTTGCTCTGCCCTCTTCCCTAAAGCTCTTTTTCTTTCTTTTTTTTTTTAAGATTTATTTGTTATTTTTTTTACTTGAAAGGCAGGATTACAGAGAACAAGGGAGAGACAAAGAGAAAGATCTTGCATCTGCTGGTTTACTCCACAAATGGCCACAATGGCTGGAGCTTGGCCAGGCAGAAGCCAGGAGTTTCATCTGGATCTCCTGTGTGTATGCAGGGGCCCAGGGACTTGGGCCATTTTCCACTGCTTTCCCAGGGACACCAGCAGGGAGCTGAATTAGAACTGGAGCCCATATGGGATGCCAGCGCTTCAGGCTGCAGCTTTACCCACTACACCACAGCACTGGTCCCAGTTCTATTTCTTTCTGATCCCAGTACTTACCTCTCTGCTGAGTTTGTGAAGGGAGAACCCTAATTCCCCTATGCACTACCCGCTACCATACACCTCCATCCCCACTCCCACCCCTGGTCTCCCAGTCCTAAGTCCTTGTCCCTGATTAGCAGCAAAGCTGTGACTCACTGCTGTCTGCATTCATTCACGGGAAAATATATTTGAGATCTTGATCTTGATCACAGGTGGTCTCACCGCTTCTCCACCTCCCTTCATGCTTGCTTTTCCTGAGCCAGTCTTGTCTGGGATGGATTTTTTAGTTCACATTCAGGCCTCACTTTTCTTTTTCAAGCCACTTCTGTCCTTTACACAATTGTATTTTATGGAAAGAAAGGGATTTTTTTTCTTTAAAATAAAGACTTTTAAGTACCTTTCTTTTTCACAAAAGAATCAGATTCTCAAAAGTTCTATTTGAAAAAATGTTGGGGGTAGGCATTGTGGCACAGTGGGCTAAGCCACTGCTTGGGGCACAGCATCCCATGTCAAGTGCCTGAATTGAGTCCTGGTTGCTCCAGCTTCCTGCTAGTAGGTATCCTAGTTATCAGAAGATGATGCCCAAATACATGGGTTCCAGCTACCCACATGGGAGACCAGTATGGAGTTCCAGGCTCCTGGTCTCAGCCTAGCTCAGCCTTGGCCACTGGGAAGTGAGCCAGGGAATGGAAGATCTCTGTGTGTCTCTTCCTCTCTTTGCCACTCTGGCTTTCAAATAAATAAATTTTTAAACAACAACCAAAAAAAAAAAGTCAACATTCTTCAATGTATCTAAGGTTTCAGTTTAATTTTAGGCTAGAAGTGTACTAAAAATCCATTAAGATCAGTTAATATAAGAGGAGAAACTTTCGAAAATTCTTTTGAAGTAGCAAATAATGTGGTAGAATACTTTTTCATTCGGAAATAAATTTGTGAGGTGATGCGATAGATTCTGCAGATAGAAGCAGGAGCTTCTCTTCTGCAACTCTTCCAAGACCAAAGAAGGATGAATAAACAATCAGTTAAAGGATGAAACTGACATGAAATCCGAAAAGTGAGGTGAACCAGTAAAAACGCAGAGTGAGCTCTTCGTATTTGTTTTCTACCAACCTTGTTAAGCTAATTTTACCGAACTCAATACAGTACCAAGATCAAAGAACCTGAAGGAAACTACGCCTCGTTCATGTATGAAGATCAAGTTCTACAGGCAAAACAAACAGGCGAGATGAAAGGAGGCTGGGCTCCTCCTCAGCTCTGCACAGAGGGACAGCTCATCCTCAGGAACACGGCCACTCTTAGCCTTCCTCCCCACCCGGAGGAACACGGCCACACTTAGCCTTCCTCCCCACCCGGAGGAACACGGCCACGCTTAGCCCTCCTCCCCACCTGGAGCTCCTTCCCACCCCTGCTCCTTTTGAGTGCACGTCTCTGTTTCCTAGCACTGTGCCAGTGCCACCACACGCTGGTCAGCTAGCTCCCTAGGAAGCCAGAGTCACATGCTGGCTCCTTCCTTCAAGCAAAACAAACCCCAACTGATTAAACTTCATTTGATATGGACTGTTACTACTCGTTGCTTATTTACAGAGTTTAAACAATCTTAGGTTCTTTAACATAGTGTTCAACTTTTAAGTAAATCATTTTCGAAGATAGCCTTGGTGCACCTTTAGCTTCATATGCTCTTGCACTCTGATAACCCCTGATTGCTAATTTGGGCCAGCAGCTCCATGAATGCCCAGGCTACCATTAAGACAGAAGATGCCGGTGCAGATGCAGAAGCTAAACCAGGCTGTTGTGCTAATGCTTTCTGCAATGAACCAATTTAGTACTAGCATTCAAAAATGAAGAGCCAAATACTTAGAATAAATCAGTTATAAACCAAACTTTATTTTAGCTAATCTGGATAAAAATTAATATCAGTATCTAACGTGTTTCATTATTCACCAATACTCTCTTTCACAATTCCCTTCTTTAACTCCAGCAAATGGTTCTCAACTCTTGTTACAAATAAGCATCACAAGGGAAGTTTTTCAAATAGGTATGTTGGGGCCAGTGCTGTGATGTAATGGGTAAAGCCGCCGCCTGCAGCACCAGCATCCCGTATGGCCGCCGGTTCTAGTCCCAGCTGCTCCACTTCTGATCCAGCTCTCTGCTATGGCCTGGGAAAGCAGTAGAAGATGGCCCAGGTCCTTGTGCCCCTGCGCCTGAGTAGGAGACCTGAAGGATGCTCCTGGCTCCTGGCTTCAGATAGGTGCAGCTCCAGCCATTGCAGCCACTTGGGGAGTGAAACAGCAAATGGAAGACCTCTCTCACGCATGTGTGCTCGCTCTTCTTCTCTTTCTCTCTGCTTCTCTGTAGCCCTACCTTTCAAATAAATAAATAAATAAAGCTTTAAGATAAGTATGTTAGTACTTAGACCCCATTCAGATTAGTTAGGTTAATATTTAAAATTAATTTAAATAAATCCAAATTAAATCCCAATGTCTAGGAATGGAGCTGGGCAGGTGATGTGTTTCCAAGCTCCTGAGGTGATCCCGTTTGCTGCCAGGGTAGGGAATCACTGCCTTAGGTTCCTCCATATGACATACACTGGATTTCTATACCTAGGTCTAGGGTGTCGCTCCCCCATTCACGGAGGAACGACACAGGACCCTGCGCTGTTCTTTCTTGCCCGGCCCTTCCCGGGTTAGCTGCCGGTCCCTCACTCGCGGAGGAACAACGCTGTCCTGGGTTAGCTGCCAGCCCCTCCACCTCCGTGGAGGGGCAGCACCCCCCGCCGCTTTCCCCGCTTCCACGTAGGAGCGGCACACCGCCGGCCGGCTCTCTCGGGGGCTGCTCAGATGTTCCTCAGGTGTTCCTTCAGATGTTCCTGGTGCATGTTGTCTCTCTCCTCCTTTATAGTCCTCTTCCACCAATCCCAACTCTGCTACCCACATGCCGCGCACGCTGCTCTCCTCCAATCAGGAGCAGGATCAGCTCCTGCAGCTTATCAAACTGATGAGGCAGCTGCGTAGTTGTTTGCTCCTCCCCAGCGCCATATTGTGGGAGAGCAGATGCATAGAATTAGTCCTAGTTCCAGTAATTTAGTCTAGTCTCAGTTGCTCCCCACACTGGTCTATTCTAGTTTATTTTTTAAGATGCATTTATTTATTTGAAAGGTAGAGCTACAGAGACAGAGGGAGAGACAGAGGGAGAAAGAGATCTTCCACCTACTGGTTCACACCCCAAGTGGTTGCAACTACCAGGCCAGGGCCGGGCTGAAGCCAGGAGCCTTGAACTCCATCTGGGACTCCCACATGGATGGCAGGGGCCTAAGCACGTGGGTCATCTTCTGTTGCTTTCCCCGGTGCATTAGCAGGGAGCAGGTTTGGAAGTGGAGCAGCCAGGAACTGAAACTATGCTCATACAGGATGCTGCATTGCAGGTCGCAGCTTAATCCTCTGCACCATGATGTTGGCCCTGGGATTTCTTTTAAGGATGATATGAACATAGGGTTATCTTGAAGACTGGCTGCTCAATACACTAAAACTTAAAGAGGAATACACTGAATATTGTTACCTAATGACGAGTTATCTAGAGTTATCTAGATAGTGCAGTAAAGAGGACGGTACAGTTGTACCTGGGCACTAATCAGCTTTGGGGCATAAGCCCACCCCGTACTTCTACTCCCTCTCATCACCTACCCTTCCTAGTCAGTGTGAGTGGCACACAAGGCTGTCACCAAGCACTGAGCCCTCCCAGGGAACAAGCAGAGTCCCCTAGAGCAGCACCTTGGGTGGACTCCCTTGTCATGGCCACCATGCACAGTGACTCAGATCATCAAACTCCATTTATCTCCTATTTCCTTCCTTTTGTCTTGAGTATCGCCACTGGTGCTACATGATTTTTTAAAAATGTAGTGAATTGTAAATTATATGTGCCATATGAGATGTACTCTGTGCAGGAAACCTTTAGGTCACTGTAGTGCAGAAATAAGAGAAAAGAAATGAAAACGACAGGGAATGGTGGTGGGAAGGGGAATGATGGAAGCCTTTGATTAGAGGTGTTACCGGTGGGACCCCAGACCACTCTTCCAGGATCAGCTGTGAGGACAGTCCAACCAGCGATTGTGCAAGTCATGAGACAGCTGCAGCCTCTAAGGGCTCCTGACCTTGGGGGTCCCCTGTACCTCTCTGTGATACAGCCACTAAAGGATTAATGCCTGCTGTTACACAGGACTTTCAGGATTCTGGTACTCA